CCGTCTCTACTAAAAATACAAAAGTTAGCCAGGCGTGGTGGCGCACGCCTGTAGTCCCAGCTACTCAGGAGGCTGAGGCAGGAGAATTGCTTGAACCCGAGAAGCGGAGGTTGCAGTGAGCCAAGATTGCTCCAGTGTACTCCAGCCTGAGTGATGGAGTGAGACGCCATCTCAAAAAGAAAAAGAAAAAAAAATAGCCAAGCGTGGTGGCACACACCTGTAGTCCTAGCTACTTGGGAGGCTGAGGTGAGAGGATCACTTGGACTCAGGAGTTCGAGGCTGCAGTGAACTCCAGCCTGGGTGACCGAGTAAAACCCCATCTCAAAAAAAAAAATTACAGAGAGAGCCCATGTACCCTTTACCGGGTTTCCCCCAATGGTAATATCTTATAAAATTGTAGAACAGTATCACAACCACAATGTTACCACTGATACAATCAAGATAGAGCATATTTCATGATGCCTTTTACAGACATCCACTTCCCTCACACCCCTACCCTCTCAACCACTGGCAAGCATGCAGGCATGAATCTGTTCTGTCAGTTCTCATGGAGTTTAAAGGTAAAATTGGGTCCCTGGTTTTAAAAAAAGCAAGAGATGGCCATAGACTGTGGCTCATGCCTGTAATCTCAGCACTGTAGGAGGCTGAGGCAGGAGGATTGCTTTAGCCTGGGAGTTCCAACATCAGCCTGGACAACATAGGGAAACCTTGTCTCTACTGAAAAATTTAAAAATTAGCCAGGCATTGTGGCACATACCTGTGGTCCCAGCTACATGTGAGGCTGAGGTGGGAGGATTAGTTGAGCCCAGGAGTTGGAGGATGCAGTGAGCCATGATTATGCTATTGGACTTCAGTTTGGGCAGCAGAGTGAGATCCTGTCTCAAAAAAATAAAAAAGAGATGATGATAAATGTACACAAATAGGGTACATGGACAAGGGATTGATTGGGTAGGAGAGCTGGACATTTTAGGATTTTAGGCCATACATAAAGACTTCCTTTTGGAGCTGAATTCAGCACTGTATTAGTGAGTTTGCATGCTGCTGATAAAGACGTATTCGAGACTGGGAGGAAAAGGACGTTTCGTTGGACTTACAGTTTGATATGGCTGAGGAGGCCTCAGAATCATGGCAGAAGGCGAAAGGCATTTCTTACATGGTGGTAGCATGAGAAAATGAGGAAGATGCAAAAGTGAAAACCCCTAATAAAACCATCAGATCTCATGAGACTTATTCACTACCATGAGAACAGTGTGGGGGAAGCCGCCCCCATGATTCAAATTATCTCCCACCGGGTCCCTCCCACAACACCTGGGAATTATGGGGGTACAAGCTAAGATGAGATTTGGGTGGGACACAGAGCCAAACCATATCAAGCATTACTTCTTGGATACACTGTGTCTTAAGAGGGCATCTCCTGGTGTTAGTGTTCACAATAATCTACCTCAGTTCCTCTGGTTTAAATCTGGCTGTATTTAGGTAGTAACTGATTTGTTAGAGGCCATGGTTTGTGTTCCAGCCCTCCTTACCTCGGAATGAGCAAATGGGCTTTTCGACAGCCTTTGGGAGAGACATCTAGAGTCAGAAGGTGGAAGCTAGAGATGAGTTATTTGGCTCCTCTTGGAATGGATATTCTCAAAATGTTTGCTCAACAATTAAGCAGACAAAGCAGATGCTGTGTGGAAGAAGCCTTACTCATCCAGTAAAGCTCAATCCTGACTGAACTCAGACCTCCTTTTCCACATGTTTCCCAGAGCAGCTAGATATGCAGAGAGAGAATCACAGGAGGGAGCTGCCAGGCTTCTCACTGCAGGGTGGTAACCACCAGCCACATGTGGCTACTAAGTGGCTGAAGTGTGTCCAGTGAGACTGAAGAACTGAATGAACTGTAACTGTACTAAATTTTGATATGAAATTTAAATAGCCATGTATAGCTTATGGCTGCCAAATAGACAACACAGAGATTCCACATCACCCATGTTGGGCTGTTTGAGTCACTCCACCCCTTTCAGTGGGGCAAAGCTGAATTTAAAAAAGAAGGAGACAGCTCTGCATTGTGACACGAGCAAGGAGAGGCCTTCAGCTGCCCCCAGGGTCCTCTGTAACCCCTTCCCCACCCAGCATCAGCACTAAAACATTACTGAGCAAACATTTTCAAACCACTAGTGTGTGGAGGAAGCTGCTAATTAGCCAGCCTGTACAGTGGCCACATCCGTGCCCAGCTGGGCCAGCGCTTGGCTCACAGTACTGCTTACTTTATACTGCTCTAATGAGTCACACTCAACTTCTCTTTAGATTTGCAGGCTCATTCTTGGGGCCAGGTTAGGATTTGTTCCCTGTATGCTTCACTGGGTCACAGCACTAAGATTAAGGTGTTACATTCTTCCTGTGCTGGGGAGGCAGCACAGAAAAATGGTAACTAAGAATGCGGGCCCTTTCAGCCAGATGTGAGAGATTAGAGAAAATATATATTTTTAATGTTTTTTAAAGTGAGTCCTGAAGTCAGGTTCTTGCATTGGGATCTAGCTTCAAGTGCTTCTGATTATATACCTGTAAGATGGATTGTTACAGCACCTGTGTCAGCATAGAGGGGTTGGGCTGAGAAAATCTGAGCAGTGTACTTTGTCCTTGGTAACTGCTCAATTATTACTGCTTATGATGATGATGCTGGTGATGATGACTGTGAGCATGTAATAAAGAATTTCTGGAAGATGATTCGAAGGTGTGACTCTCATATGTGCCCATGAGAGGGCAGCCTAAAATCATGCATGTCTGTGGAACTAGCAGCCTCTGTAAAGCCTCGAGGTAATGTGGGCAGTTTCAAGTGTGTTTGGCCCTTTTTCTTCTGTTTTTCTTTTTTCCCTCTGTTTGAAGAGCACTTTCAGCCATTTTCTGGCTTAACTTAGATACAGAACAGGCCCATGAACACCTAAAGGGCAGCATGGGTAGTACAGAGCTAGGTTTAGGCCCTGCCTGGGTCGGTGAGCTTGTGTAGGTGCCAATGGGAGCATCTGTCCAGGCATCCTAGGCTTTTCTTTGTAGCTTTTCACACAGAACTAATTCTTATTAATCAGACTCTTGAGGTAGAGACTAGAACCTGACTGTGTTTAGAGAAAAGAGAAACCTGATTTTCTATGCCTGTTCCCCTTTCACTAACTTCACACTTGCCTCTATACCGGGTGTGCACACCTTGGGGCCACTATGTAAGGAACAGTGGCCGGAGCTGTACACACCTAGAGTTCCATCAGCCAAACATGGCTCTGGAACACACCAGGGGAGACTGAGTTACAGAGAGAGAGAGAGAGCTCTACGGGAAAGCAGAATCAGAGTCCTCAAACCATATGGGAGCACAGAGCATCACAGGGCTGGAGGACCAAGGGGGTCTTGAAGATGGACAAGGTTTAAACAGTTGGAGCAGGGTAGAATAAGGGGGCATGAGCCAGGAGGTGCATGGGAGAAAGGGAAGTGCTGAGGTCAACTTGGGAAAAGAGTTTGGAGTCAGATTGGGGAGTGGCTGGAATGAGCTGAGGAGTTGGCCTTTAAATCCTTGATGACGTTTATATTGTTTAATGATTAAGAGATGACTAAAAACAAAATGGAGAATGGCACTTGGGTTTTTCTAGTACTTATCTCATTTTAATATCACTGATGTATAATCTAGACTGAAAAACCAAATGTATGGGAGGAATCCTGACAATCCAGTGTTTGTCACACCATCCCCCTTCCTCATTCCCACTCCCTACACTGTGGGCCAGGCCTTCAGGCCTCTCTCCTGGACAGCAGCAGGAACTTCCTTGGAAGAAGCACAGGTTGCTGTGGCAGCAAGGCACACTATGATGCCAGCTTGTGATGCTCTCAGAGAGGAAGGCACAGATGCTGGGGAAGTGAACCTGGTTATATTAACATTAAAGCTGATTTCTCCAGAATGGTGTGCTTAAATATTATGTAGATAATACTCAGAAACAGAGTGCAGTAAATTATTTCTAATCCTAACATGACCATGAAGATCCATTTAACCTTTGATTTAGAAAGCCCCTTAGGGTCCTGCAGGAGTTGGTTGGAGATGAAAAGCTCTGGGGATATTTCCCAGACAGTTTTGGGGATGTTGTCATTTGTTCCATCTTATTTGTTGTAAATATTTGGATGATTCTAAGATACTAAGATTGACATTGACACAAACTTGGCAGAACCAAAATTGAACTTGAATGTTGTCTTTCATATGTTGGCTCCTTTCAGAAAGTAGGCTGAGTGTGGTGGCTCACGCCTGTAATCCCAGCACTTTGGGAGGCCAAGGTGGGCAGATCACCTGAGTTCAAGAGTTTGAGACCAACCTGGCCAACATGGCAAAACCCCATCTCTACTAAAAAACAATACAAAAATTAGCCAGGTGTGGTAGCCCACACCTGTAGTCCCAGCTATACAGGAGGCTGAGGCAGGAGAATCACTTGAACCTTGGAGCAGAGGTTGCAGTGAGCCGAGGTCACACCACTGCATTCCAGCTTGGGCAACAGAACGAGACCCCATCTCAAAAAAAAAAAAAAAAAAGTAAAATGTTCAGTGTCTGTGTAATGAACAATATTCAAAATTTTGTCCATTTCTATGCTTCTCCTCTCCCCCATGTGGTCCTGCTTCAGGCCTGGGAGCCTGACTAAACTAAGCCTAGTGGGCTTCTCTGCACACTGCCAGGCCCCTCTGTCACTTACTGTACTTTCTGATCCCTTTTCTGTCTAGGGGCAAAGGATTAGCGAAGGGGCTTTGTCCTCTGGGGCTGATGTTGGCACAGCTACAGGACAGCTTGGCAGGTGAATGTGAAAGTGGTAGCTGCTGCCCCTCGGCTGTGTGTGTTATGGAAAGTGACAGATTGGACCTCCTTTGGTTGAAGCGTTGGGGATGGATGATATATGCATGCACTTAGACTCAGGTGTATGCCCAGTTGTCCCAGGTACTCAGCAGATAGGGAAAGAGTGAAGAACTGAAACATCATCTAGTTTTCTCCTTTATAGGCATGGAGGGATTTTTGAAATCTGATGAGAGGCAGAGATTGGCTAAAGAAAGACGGGAAGAAAGAGAAAAATGTCTGGGTAAGTTACGCACTTTGGCTGTTTTGGTCCAAGGGAGTGGAGATGTGGTGTCTTTTCTGAAGATTCTTACAAATATGTGAATGAATGGGAAGAGAACCAGGACAATTGCTGGATGAACATGAAGAATCAGGGGTTAACCTACACTGTAAATGGCATGTTCATAAATAGGTAATTCTCAGAACACTTCACTCAGCAAACATTGAACCTCTGCTGTGTTCTAGGCACTGTGCTAGGGGCTGCAGATGTGACATTGAAGGAAGACAAACAGTCGCTGCTTCTGACCTAAGGAAGTCCTGACACCTTCCAGTGTCCACTCTGTACAGTCCCTCAGGTTCTCTCTTGAGAATCTAAAAGGGCCATCCTCAGGAAAACTGAGAAAATCAGCACCTGAGCCATTTTATATTTTAGGACAGGGAACCCTGGTTGAGAAGGGCTGTTTCGCCTGTTGCAGGCTGTAGACAGATTAGTACAGAGTGTTCTGCACAGGATGCTGAGGGAGGGAGATAGTGTTTCCCCATTGCATTGAGACAAATGAGGAGCTTTCAGGTTCTTCTCTCCTTGACTGCCTCCTGCTGGTCAGTACAAGCATTGCCTCCCCTAGGGAACTCTCCTGCGTTGGCTGGGTGGAATTAAGGGCCCCTTTAAGGAAATGTCTTGAGGGTAAGGCAAAGACATTTTATTCATGTATTTTACATTCTGACCTAGCTCAGTATCTGATGCATGGTGCACACACAGTTAACCTGCTTTCGAATGAATATACCCTTATAAGCATCATTGCTTAACCTAGCATACAGTTTAGCCATTGTGCCCAAGTTTGACTTAATGACGACAGTCATAGTCATGGCTCCCATGTATGGAGGCACTTACTGTGTACTTCATGGACATCATCTTGTTTGATCTTCGCAACACTGTGATGTGGCAAACATGACTATCCCCACATTGTAAAGGTGGAAACCAAGGCAGAAATGATCTAGTTAACATGCTCAGCATTATCCAGCTAGTGGCGGAGGTACCAGAACCCTTTTTCTCAATCATTGCATCTTAGGATCCCACCAGGCTCTTTTTAGGTCTCCGCTCTAGCTTCTGTGTTTTTTATCTTAATCCATATTGCATGGGGTGCTCTGGTAATGACACCCCTCTTCTACTTTCCTTCCCCAGCTGCTCGAGAACAACAAATCCTGGAGAAACAGAAAAGAGCCAAGCTCCAGTACGAAAAGCAAATTGAGGAGCGATGGCGAAAACTGGAAGAGCAGCGGCAGCGAGAGGATCAGAAGAGGGCTGCTGTGGAAGAGAAAAGGAAACAGAAGCTCCGGGAGGAGGAGGTAAGGCCCAGGAGCACCACCTACCACCTTCTAGCCCCCTCAGCAGGGCGCTCAGAGTGCCTGGGCATCCTGCCCAGCTCTGAGGTAAGAGAGAGACCTGCCATGCACCTTTTCCTTGGTGTGGCTCCCATGCCTTCTTTCTGCAGCATGACATGAAACAGTGGAAGCACCACCAACATAGAATCACAGAGACTTGTCCATTCTACTCAGGTGTGTGATCTTGGACAAACTGGTTGGCCTCTCACTTCTCTGTGAAGTGAGGGGGTTGGATTTGGCAGTCTCCAATGCCTTTTCTACTCACAACCTTTTCTGACTCTAAAGTAAGACTCAAAGGGTCCCTGGATGGTCTAGTAGATAGGGGGAAAAAGACTCAGGCATTTGTGGGTAGGGACTGGGTGATGTGAATCTGAGGGTTAATGCCTCCAGGGCAGACACAAGGCCACAACAAGAGCTGTGAAGTTGAGAACAGTGTGATCCTGTCAGTTGCTACTGGCAAATTAGTCTACCCTCAAATACCAAGATGCTAGTGTATTTAAACTTTAATGTAGTTCTTTCCTTTAATTGCCCTTTCTTTCCAGTTACCTTTTTAAAAAGAAATGGCATGTGATTACCCCTACAGAGTCCTTTATTACAAAATTTTGAAAATATATTTAGAAAGCATATTCAGATTATAGATTTTCTTAACAATTATATTTTAAGGATATAATAAAAACCTTATGTCAGTTGATAATTTTTTGTTCTGAAGGTATAATGATTCATCTTTTAGTGTGAACAATATAGAGGTTTGTTCATCTCCAACACTATAGAGTATAAAGATGTTTGTACTAATTCAGTATTTTTTAAAAGCTCTGAACAGTTGTTGAATCACTATATATATTTACCCCTTCCTTTTTTTTTAAAGACCGCACACACAGTTAGACCCATCTTTGCCCAAGAAGCACCCTTTTATGATTTATTTTCTCCTCTTAGGAAATGAGGTCTAAGCCAGTGTTTCAGCCATGGTCTACCGTTGCTGGCTGCAGTCTGATTGCTGTGCCTTCATCTGCTCCCAGTTCAAATGCCAGCTCTACCTCTGAGCAGCTAGTAGCCAGGGGCAAGTCACATACCCCTCTAACTCTGTCTCCTTAGCCCAAATAGAGGTAGTTACGGGAATTAAAAGAGGCGACTTCTGTAAAAGTGCCCAGCAAAGCACCTAGCACAGAGTAATCACTCGGGAATGTTACATTCTGTTCAGTTACTTCAGCCAAGCTTGGCTAAAGCAAGGTCAAGAGGGTGCTTCCCACAAAAGCTTATGAAACAGAGTCAGTAGATGGGAAAAAGCCACAGTATAATAGGCTGTTTTGGTAACTTCGGACAGATTTCTCCTTTGCTAACTCGTGTATTTGTCAAGTCACTGGGCTCGCCCATTTTCTTCCCATCCTCCATTCCTTAATGACTTAGAGCTTGTCGTCTTCCACCATGATCTCCGCATTTTGAAAGCTTGTCACTGCTGCTTCCAGGAAGGGGCACTGTGAAGTCACATAAGACATTTCCCATGCTCTGACATATGCAGTGTCACTAGGGGCTGCTTTTGAGGCAATTTCTGTTTATAATTTTTCTCTACAGAACGTTAGTGCTGGAGGCGTGTTAAATTAAGTAGTCCAACTCCTCCTTCTTGTAGGTGAGGGAGTGTTATGCTATATGTTGGTCCTGATGCAGCTGAATCTTTTGTGGTTTCCCTTCTGGGTAATTTTCTATTTGTGTGCTTCCTTGCACCCCTGATGTGGTAGGGGTGAGGCAGGAGGCTGCCCGACTGACCCTTGTCAGCCCAAGCTGAGCTTGGTTCCCTCTTCTCCCTGGCACAGCAGAGCAGGGCAGGGCTGAGGGCTGGGCCTCCTGTGGTTGTGTAGCAACCCAAGAAAACAGAAGCCTCCCTCTGCCACCTGCTCCTGCCCTCCGGGCCCCAGGGGACCCAGGTGTAGCTTAGGGACTTGCCACACACAGGCTGGCTTGTTAGCTACCTCGTTGTTAGTGCTCTGCTGGTACAGAGGCCTGTTTGGCATTCTTGGGGGTGACATTTAGGGAGAAGGGATAGGCCTGCATTGCAGAAGACCCTCTTCAAAGGAAACCCTCTGCACTGTCCCCCATGGTTTAAGGGGAGCTTTGGGAGGATTGCAGCCTGCTTGGTGCCTGGCTGTGGATGTTCTCCATTCTCTTCTCAGTGTCAGATTGAAGTCTTTTTTCTCATATTCTGTCTCTGTCAGCCAGAGAAAAGCCTCTGTAGGAAGATCATTCATCCTATGCAGGCCATTTTACTTCTCCAGCCTGTTGGAAAGTGTTTGTGTTGCCTACCAGATCTACCTCTCTGGGTCTGATACTTAGGAGCTCACGAGAGGCCTGTTGACCACCCCCCCAGCCCTGCCCTGGCTCTTTATCCCTATGGTTGCCATGATGTCACTCTTGATAACCCCTCCTGTCTCTGCCAGGGCACAAGTGGGTGCCACGAATGGCCTAACTCTGAGAGGTGTCAAGAGTTGGCAGGGGTAGAAGCTAGTCAGGCCTGTCCCAGGGAGGGGATGGGGGTGGTTCTTCTATCCACTTGACACCCTGACCCTAAACTCATTCTCTTGTGGGAGGCCACCTACACCTTAAGGTGGGTTCTTACAACCTTCGCATGCCACACAGCTCCCAGGAACTGAGCTACCAGAACAAGTTCCTGTCACCTGAGTTAGGGCTGACAACACAGTATGCCCACCCATTCTCTACGCAGGAGAGTATAGCTTCCTGACCAGTGACCCTGGAAAATGGGATTTGGAAAAGCCAACTCCATGTTCTTCCTTATGTTAAACAGATAAGGGAAAGCCTCCCCCCCCCATTTTTTTTTTTTTTTAATTTGAGACAGGGTCTTGCTCTGTCACCCAGGCTGGAGTGCAGTGGTGCAATCTCAGCTCAGTATAACCTGTTCCACCCGGGCTCAAGTGATCTTCCTACCTCAACCTTCAGAGTAGTTGAGACCACAGGCGCATGCCATAACACCCTGCTATTTCTTTGTACTTTTAGTAGAAACGGGATTTCACTATGTTGCCCAGGCTGGTCTCAAATTCCCGAACTCAAGCAATCTACCTGACTCAACCTCCCAGAGTGCTGGGATTACAGGCATGACCCACACCTCTTTCAAAGAATAGCTTCATCTCTTTAAGTTATTTGGATATATCAAACTTTCTACTCTCACTGCTTGATATCTAACAAAATCCACAGGACTGGATATAAAACAAAAAAATTCTGAACTCACCTGAATAAAAACTTCACTCAACTGAGAACTGGCTGCTCACAGAAGGCATTGTCTGGCAAGGTGCCACGCTGCCATGTGGCCTCCTGGCCAGATGTGGACATCTGTCTGTAGAGAGAAAAGACCTCCTTCCCCCTTCCCCCGCGCATATCCCTGCTGAGAACCATTGGGGGTGTGTCCCTATAGTGTCATCCCCAGAACACATGTAATGGGCTGGGCGTGGTGGCTCATGCCTGTAATCCCAGCACTTTGGGAGGCCGAGGCAGGTGGATCACCTGAGGTCAGGAGTTTGAGACCAGCCTTGCCAATATGGCGAAAACCTGTCTCTACTAGCAATACAAAAATTAGCCAGGTGTGGTGGCATGCACCTGTAATCCCAGTGACTTGGGAGGCTGAGGCGAGACAATTGCTTGAACCCAGGAGGTAGAGATTGCAGTAAGCTGAGATCACACCACTGCACTCCAGCCTGGATGACAAAGCGAGACTCCATCTCAAAAAAAAAGAAAAGAAAAAAGAACACATAAAATGGTAGTTGAAGAGTCACAGCCACCCCCTACCACCCATTCCTTCCGGAGACTGCTGTCTGAGTAACAGTGTCTGGAATGTGCCCTGCTGGCAACCTTTAATACTGCTCAGCCAGTTCAGCAGAGTCACCTTGGTCGTGATTCTCCAAATTCATCCAGACAGATCTAGAGCCAGAGATCAAGGTGTCAAGTGTGAGGACTCCTCTTTCTTCCTTCCTTCCACTAGGCCCTACCTAATAGAAGAGATTCTAGTGACAAGGATTTGCCTTGCCCTTTCCCCATCCTCTGATGATCATCGGATGATACTCAGGAAAACCAGAACTTGGCAGGAATTGCAGTATGCAGTTCTGATACTTATTAATACTGTTTTTCTAATGTGATGGAACTTTCTCATGCTCACTTTCTCAAGCTCAGCCTCTCCTCTAAGCAGTGGCTCTCACTTCGGGGGTCCCATGACCAGCAGCACCTGAGAACTTGTTAGAAATGCAGATTCTCAGCAGGCTCCACCCCAGATCTGTTGACTCAGAAACTCTGGGGATAAACCCCAGGGCTTTAACAAGCCTTCCAAGGGATTTTCCTGCTGAGCTCTCAGATTTGAGAACTGTTGCTCTAAATGGTCCTGATAAGAATCTTCCTCTTTAAAATCAGATTCACTTAGCTTTGGTTAAGGACTTATGCATACTTGTCATTATTCCAAGACTTAGGGTGATCTGGGGATGTAGGTAGGCTTATCCCCATTTTATAGGCAAGGAAACTGAAGCCCAAACTGAAATGATTAGCTCAAGGTCACAGGGATAAAAAGTGCCAGGCAGAGGTGGGATTTGAATTCTTTCGATTTCGTCATTTGAAGGAACAGAAAGGTACACACAAACACGAGGCAATACTGACCTGTACAGGACTAACGTTAATAAGTCCTGTGCACTGGACAAGTTTGGTTTTCCACATGTGTGAATTACCCCATTCAGACTTTTTGGGGGTTCCATAAATCCTCTTCTCTTAGAGTTGGTTGTCATCTGTTTCTCATCATCTCTCCAAAAGTGGGTGATATAAAGTGAGTGTGTCTTTCTCTCAGGGACAGCTGTGTTTTCATCAGCCTCCTCAAGGTCTGAAGGAATTAATCTCTGGTGGTGGGACTTGGAGCAGCTCAGTGGACTGGGGATGGATGACAGAGGTAGTTTTCTAGAAGCCACTAAAAAGTCCAAGGGTAGGTTTGGCTTTCAGTGAGCATTCATTCCCTTACAGTGGTGCCCCCCAGATAGCTGATCAGTGGTCAGGCTGGCTCAGTGAATCTCACTGTTTTTTATTCTCATTGGTCCCCTAGTAGAGAAGGGACCACCTTATGAGGTCCTTCTGACATGCAGGAAGTCTACTGTAACCCATCCAATACTAAATTCACTTTGGGATGAAAGGCTTCAACACTTTACTTATGTCATTGGTTAAATACCTTATGTTAAAACCATATAATGAAATACCATTCAACCTCAATCTCAAGTGGCTGTACTTCGGGCATCACATGGCAGAGAAGTTCTCATCCCTCCAAGCCCCATCTTTTATCAGGCAGACTGCCAGAGTTGGCCATCATTTAATGGGCCAGGGTCATGAGGACTGGACTCTGCCAGGGCATGCACACTCATGATTGTACAGTCTCAGGCCAAAAACAAGAACACAGTTAATACCTAATGTAAATATAAGACTTACAGGAGGTAAAAATCCCCCTTTCTGCTCACAGGTCCCTGGAGAGGCAGTCTCTTAGCAAAGTGCTATTCAGAGAAAAATTATGCAGAGGAGCCTGAGATGTGGAGAAGCCAGATCCTCATCTCATTCCTCTGGTGTAGACAGAAGAGATGAATCTAGATACCTATTAAGTGACCTTTATATGTGTCTAGTAAGTGTGACAAAAAGGAACCTTTAACTGGTCTTTTAAGTCATGATTACTCAGTTGGTGCTGTCCTAAATTAATTTTGCTTGTGTGTGTTTTTTAAGCCATGAGACAATTGTATCTTTTTGTTTTGGAGTCAGGCTACAATTAGCCCAGTTCCTAGAGCACCTCAGAGTTGGGTTTTATGAGGGCTAAAGGGTTTCATTATAAGTGCTAGCTCAGGCCTTCTCCAGGAGAGGTAGGGAGAGGAATTGGTATTTGCAGTGTCATGGAGGTGGTGGGAAGTGCAGAATCAGAGCACCTTCAATGCAGCACCAAGGACAACTTTATGAAAGTAACAATTTGGGTAATACAGGAGAGTGTTTTACAGGAGACAAATACTGTTAGGAGAGAAGCCGAAGTTTAATGGTTGTTTTTCTCTGATTAAAAATTATTGGGTTTGCCTCCCTGACCCCTCCGCCTACCTAACTCTGGGAATGCATGGATGCTTTATTTTGTGGCCAGAAGGTTCTATACTCTTGCATCTTTAAAAATTTGAAATATGCAATGTTATCCCCAGATTACTGTATAGCAGAAAAGTGTCACACTATATAAAACAATTGGTTCCCTGTTAAGAAGTTCTAAGATGAAAATACAGCTTTGCAAAATAGCTCTCAGTGTCATGTATCACCCCCAAACTCAAATTATATTTGCATTAAAATTTTCTCAAAGCAAAATGTTTTATGCTTTTAACTAGAAAGGGTGCTGTTGGTTCTAGAGAATTCCAGCTCTCCTTCTGGATAGGGCAAAATGGCTTGAGATAGGCCTCAAGGAGTTAATGCTTATTGGGCATTATTCCTAGGACAGCTTCTCCCCAGGGAGGGGAGGGGACAGGACGAGCAGTGTTGGGGTTGAGAGCCAGTGCTAGCCTAGCCGCATTGTTTACTCTCCACCTACTCAGAACACGCTGGTGTGGCAGAGACAGCACATATGCCTGGGTTTTAGATGCGGAGCACAGAAAGGCACATTTGGTGACTCACACCGTGCTCTAAGGCAGCAGGCAGTGTGGTGGGGCTTGGTAGTTAATCTTGTTAACACTTGCCTTACATGAACTGTGTAGGAACGGCTGGAGGCAATGATGCGCAGGTCCCTGGAGCGCTCACAGCAGCTAGAGCTAAAGAAGAAGTATTCGTGGGGAGCATCACTGCCCATGGGACCCGGAGGACGTGATGGTGAGTATAGGGCTGCACCTGTATTTCAGGTCCCAGGTGGGAAATCATGGAGCGGGCAGGGGATCATGGGCACCGCTGGGTGCCTCCAGGATCTGGGGGATGCTTTGCACAGCTTTTCCGAGACACCACTTTCAGATGTGATGTTTAAAACTGCCAAGATTCCTATGCATGCATTTGTTATGAAGCGGATCTATGCATTCTTCTTGAAAGCAAACAGCAGTTGACACAAAAACTAGGCTTTGAGGGAGAGCAAAAGGAAAGACTTTCAACACATAGCCCAGTGAGCCGGGCCCAGTTGGCAAGCCCAGGGGTGGTCTGACTTCAGGGGAGGGAAACGGCAGGAGGCTCCAGTCACTGCTCAGGAAAAGCAGAGTGGCAGTTACCCTCCAAAATGAGGACCTTTTCCCTGCCTCATTTAAAATTTTTGTTGCTTTTTCTAATTTATTTCAAGGTGACTTATTTATTTTGTTACCAGTTCATATTCATCTTTAAATTTTCAAATGTGTAATTTTATGTATGGATTGTTACTAGTCTCTGGATGGCTTTTTCTTCTTTTTCGGTGTTTCACTACATTTCAGCAATCTTAACATTCTATTATGCAGGAGGTGTGTACTAGCTCTATCTGAGAGCAAATAGATTTGAGTTTATAGGCTACTTCTTGACTTTGCTCTATTGTGCTTTTAACCTTTGGGCAGTAAATAAACTTTTTTTTTCTTTTTTGAAAAGTCGACAACCTGATTCAATTACTTTTTCTAATTTCCTAATTAGAAACTAAGAAGCAACAAGAAATTGGGACTTTTTTCTTTTACCTCTCTTTGCTCTGATTTTTTGCTGTGTAGGTGAATCAGAAAATACCCCACCCCCTCCTCTAGGTTTAGCAGCCAGCACCCTCCCTCCGGATGCAGGGACCACTGCCACAGCTGCCGAGTCCACCAACGGTATATCTGAGCATCACTGTGCCATAGCATTTTGTAATAACTGTTCTCCTCCATCACCATTTCTGTGTCAGACACTTTTACAATTGATTTCTTAGTCTGGCCTGTTACAACTTTTCTTTCTAGCAACGTGAATGACATGTCCATATTTCTTTATTCCTCTGTCATTGTAGAGCAGTGCATGCCTTACATCTTAGTGCCCTGGAGACATTTCATCCTCGACTCACTAATGTCTGCCTTGAAAATCTTGTCAGTGTTTGATTTTTGCACATTCAGATTTTTAACGATCTCATTCATCATCTGTTGTAGACATTAAGTAGCAGGGCATTCTGATTACTTCTGGTTACCAAACCTGTAATCACCCAGAGTTCTGAATGGAAAACTTGGTCTTGGTGTTAAAGTGGTACATTCCTGGAGAGGTGTTTGAGAGGGAGTGGTAGGGAGTTTATCAGTGCTAATACTGGGAATCCAAATAATTAGATACTTAGGCTTTGTGCTTGATTTTATCTCTTTGTCTAATCGGCTCTCTGTTTTGTATACAGGCCTGGGAAACTCCTATGGTCTAGATCAAGAATAGAACTAGCAAAACTTTGTTCCCACTTAATAATGGCTTTAGAAATTCATTCCATCTTCAACTGGCAAAAAAAAATATATATATATATATATATAAGGGAAGCAGTATTTACCAGCAATGCAGAAGGTCATATTAGCAGTAGGAATCAATACCCTTGGTTTCTGACATTCCTTTGACAATGAATAATCCTTCCCGGTGGTGCTTTGTAACAGTAATTTTGCTGCACAGGCAGAGTTACCTCTAGTGTGGGCACTGGCCTTCCCTCTAAGAAAGGTATAGGGAAGCCGGGCATGGTGGCTCACGCCTGTGATCCAAGCACTTTGGGAGGCCGAGGCAAGTGAATGACTTGATGTCACTAGTTTGAGACCAGCCTGGCCAGCGTAGTGAAACCCTGCCTCTACTAAAAATACAGAAATTAGCCGGATGTGGTGGCGAGTGCCTGTAGCCCCAGCTACTCAGGAGCCTGAGGCAGGAGAATTGCTTGAACCTGGAAGGCAGTGGTTGCAGTGAGCTGAGATTATGCCACTGCACTCTAGCCTGGGCAACAGAGTGAGACTCCATCTCAAAAAAAAAAAAAAAAGGTAGGGGGGGAAAGAAAGGTGCAGGGAGAGTGGAGTAATCACCCACTGGGAATCAGCACCCAGGGCCAGGGCCAGGGTGAAATGGGTACAGTAATTGACTAGAGCATACATTTTAAGGGAATGCCAAAAATCTCAGTAATCAAGATCAAATAATATCTTAATGTGGTATTTTTTTAAAAATCAAAATGAATGCAAAATAATCCATAGTAAACAAAACAGCACATTTCTAAAGACCAGGGCTGAGCCATATCAGAGCCTGAAACAAAAAGGAAAATGTGCATTCCTATATACAGGGTTTTATGTAATTTCTAATGTTTAATTTTGTCAAAACATTAAAGTAGCTTAAAATATGGAAAAAATAAAAAGTAGGAGTATTAAAACTCACAACATTATTTCAATTTTAAATATTTTATTTCTACCCAAACCAAATTTATTATACTTTACTTCAGCTTAAGTTAATTAAAAATTATTTAAGATTGTCATTTGGTCAGCAGCAATTATAGAACATGGCAGTTCTCTCATGTGAAAACAAGATGAGCAGAGGAATAGATTTTGGAAATATTATTGATGAGTTTGCTTTTTCTACAACCAAGAGCACACTTTTTTCCTTTGGCCTCAGGCTCCAACATAGCTTGGCAGGGCACTGTCAGCATCTCTCTGTTTGCTCTGATGGTTAAGTTTAGAGACCAGTCTGAAATAATGACTGGAACATAAGAACAGTAAACTCAGGGTCTCCTGTTAAAATCCTAACCTCAAAAAGTTAAAGTATTTGTGAAAGGACCATTTTGATCTGTCTCTTACTAAGTAAGAGAGAAACCAACTACTAAAGAGGCCATTCTGCATTGAAATACAACTCCGAGAGGGCAGATTTCATTTCTCTCCAACCTGAGCTTCAGATAGTCTTCAGAAAAGTATCGGTTTCAGCAAGCAGTGACAGTCAGACCATAGGACGTTTTCCAGTGGTGATTTGTCTCTGGGTCCAGGTTGGTTTTGTTTTCCTGTGATGTAAGCATACACAGAAAGCCCTAGACAAAAGAAAATGATTTGTTGGTGGGATTAACATGGCTTTAGTTGAACAGTTGAGTGAGGTTGAACGTTTGAAATTGAAGATGACAACAGAGTGAAGAAATTGCAGAGATATTGCTGCAGACCAAGGGCTGCTGTAGCCTGGGCATTTCCAGATTAGGATAATGAGATGCCAGGATGATGAAAGCAGAGCATACTGTGCCACAGCATTTAGGAGGTGTGTGGATGAGGACAGGAAGGACACTTTGGGATATGTGTTTCTCGGTTCTACAGTAGTGTGATGAATACCAATGTCTTTAATGCATTTCTCTGCAGCATGTGACAAACTTTCAACATCAACTATGAATTTGCCAAAGCCGACGGAGCCTCCCATGAGTAAACGCCTGTCTTCATCCACTGTGGCAATATCGCATTCCCCAGACCGAGGCAAGTGAACATGTAGACTTGGTCTCTCCAGTTTGTTTATTTTCTGATGTGAGCATCTTAACATTGGTCTTTGTGAGAACCTCCTCTTGAGCCTTCTGCAGATACCATCTTTGTGTCCTAGTCTTGTGGTCTGAATGTGGGAGCCCTAGGGCCTTGTCAGAGAGACTTTGGAACATGGCATGGCTCTTTAGAGCCAGGTTATTGTTAAATAGAGGCAGGAATTAATACAGTCTCCCAGTCTGAAAGAGACTGTTCTGTTTTCTACGTTGCATGTAGGAGTTATCCTCCTCAGGAATTAATTAACCAGTGGGCAGATGCGACCATTAAAGTAACTGTCTGGTCAATGATGAAATACAGTTGATTAGCCAGAAAGAGCAGAATTGATAAGCTATAGTTACATGGGAGGCTTAGATATGTGAAACAGTGGGGCTCCGCGGTCATTTGTGGTTTATAGGCCTGCCCATTTTGTAGATGAAAAGAGAAGCACAGAACTAATAAGGCCTCCAAAAGAGGAAAAGGATGGGCACTCTGTTTTGAGTTGGGAGAGGATATGCATAGGATGTGTGCCAGTTCCAGAACCTGAGTAGATTTAACATGGTCTGCATCCTCACAGAGGCTCAGATAAGTCACTGAAAGTCTGAGTTTATACCTTTCAGAGCATACAGGTTAAGGAAGCAAGGAAAGCTCTCCGTGCACTAAATGTCTATTTTAAAGCAACACTGAAGAAGTGTCAGGTGTCAGTGGAGTGTTTAGTACAAGTTACCATCAAGGGCAGAGCAGAAGGCTGGTTGCAACTTGGCAGAGGCTGGTGTGCCTTCCTGGTTGTTTCCACTGACATTGACCTTGTACCTCTATCCCAGAGGCGTGTTATGTGTGTCAGAGACCCTATAAGGTTCATAACGCTACTGATCTGTGATGCAGTTCGTGGTAAGCACCAAGAACCTGCGAGTGATGAAGAGCTGAATACAGAGTGAGAGAAAAATTAATTCATTGCCATATATAATACATTCAAAAATGATCTAAATATTTTGGTCATTGACTTCTAGATTATGAATACTACTGTCTTCCATTAAAGCTGATAGTTGGCTGTTTGTATTTTTGTGCCTGTCACCTAATTTTTGCCCTTATTGACATGGAAAAGGTATGAAAATATGTATTTTTATACTATTACAGGATGACATTTCATTTAAAAATCAGTATGTTATGAAATCTTTCTTAGCAGAGGATCTAATACAAGTGTTTTGTAGGCATAATTTTTTTTCAATGTTAGATCTACTTGGAGTAAAGGATTTTTTTTTTTGAGACAGGCTTTCTGTTGCCCAGGCTAGAGTGCAGTGGTACAGTCTTGGCTCACTTGGAATCTCTGCCTCCCAGGCTCAAGCCCTCCTCTCACCTCAGCCTGAGGAGCTAGAACTACAGGCACACGCCACCATGCCCAGCTAATTTTTTTCTATTTTTTTGTAGAGATGAGGTTTTGCCATGTTGCCCGGGCTGGTCTCAAAGTCTTGAGTTCAAATGACCCAACTGCCTTGGCCTCCCAAGGTGCTGGGATTCCAAGCATGAGCCACCATGCATGGCCGTAAATGATTTCTTGAGTCCATATTACATCTGGGAGGTGGGTTAATTCTCTGATTGATATAGGTCACTGTACCGCAGTAGCATATCAAATGGATTCTGGTACCTCGTGACAATTAATACACTCTCCCAAATTCTAAAGGTCACATTATTTGTTGTATTTTACTACGATGAACTCCAAATCCATCCTTTGTTCAAATATTTTTATTTTCCACGTTTGTTCTACCACCCAAAAGTTAATTTGCACCATGCATTGTGTTGTTTAAATGTTTTATTTTGTTTTGTTTTAGTTTTGCTTTTTAAAATTTTCATTTGATTCCATCCCTCAGCTCATCACATGTACCTTAGTGAAATGGAAGCCATTCTTTCACGACTGTTGATACCTACACAGTCTTCTTTAGCAAGAAGCAGAACTTCATTCAGGCTCTCTGGGCAGGCCAGTGACTCAGGTAAAAGAGGCTAAGCTGGTAACACCAAGGAAAATGGCCGAAGAGGTGTTGGTCAGCCTAGGATTTACTCCTGAATTTTTGGATTTTGCTTCCTATTTGCTGGCTTTGTGAAACGTCTTCATTGGTTAATAACATCTTCTACAATTGTTTTTGCTGTTTCATGTTTCTTTTAAGTGTCACAGAGGTGAGTAAATTATTTTATGAGTGAGACCATGTATTTTAGGGGAAGAAAACTCCACTTCATGAATGCTGAAGGTTAGTAGACTTTTCTTAAGAGATGGTGTGGCAAAATAGCCTGTAGACCAGTCTGGGGAGTCCCATAGCTAGCTCTGCCATTCACTAGCCCTCACCATTTGGGGTAAGTTAATTAACTTCTCTAAACCTCAGTTTTCTCATCTATAAGGTGGAGCTATTTTAAATTGTTGTGATGATTAAATGAGATTTGTGCACACAAATGAGATAACACAATGATTAGCACAGAATAAAAGCTCAATGGCAGTCTAGAGTCTCACTACTCAGAAGGTGATCCATGGACCAGCAATGGCAGCGGCATCTAGGACCTTGGTCAGAAGGCCCCACCCAACCTGCACGTTGAAGTCTGAGTAACACTGGGCCAGACCATCAAAGCCCTGCCTCTGTCAAAGCAGATCAAGTCATCATGTCACAATTCATGGGGGCTGGCATTCTCTTTGTTTGCAAATGAGCAGTACTGTGTCCACCTAAGGTCAGATCTGCTCTTTATTCCCAAGATAGTATACTCAGTGTGATGATACATAAATGACATAAAACTTCTGCCTAGTTGTAGTTGTTTCCAAAGAGTTATACTGTTTAGGCAAATAAGTTATACAGACAGCTAATAAGTACATAAGATGCTTAACATCATTAATCATTAGGGAAATGAAAATCAAAAACAGAGTGGGATGCCACTTCACACCCACTGGGATGACTAGAATTTTTTTTAAAGGGGAGGAGGTGGAGACACACTTCCCTCACACACTGCTGGTGGGAATGTAAAATGATGCAGCTGCTGTGGAACACGGCCTGACAGTTCCTCAAAAACTTAAGCATAGAGTTCCCATATGACCCAGCAATTCCACTGCTAGGTATACAGCCAAGGAAAATAAAAACATATGTTAGCACAAAAACTTATTGACAATAGCCACAAAGTAGAAACAACTCAAATGTCCTTCAGTGGATGAATAAACAAAATGTGATATACCCATAAAGAATACTAATCAGCTGTAAAAAGCAATACAGGCCAGTGACGGTGCCTCACGCCTATAATGCCGCACTTTGGGAGGCCGAGGTGGGTGGTTCACCCAAGGTAAGGAGTTTGAGACCGGCGTGGTCAACATGGTCAAACCCTGTCTCTACTAAAAATACAAAAATTAGCTGGATGTGATGGCACACAGCTGTAATCGCAGCTACTGAGGAGGCTGAAATAGGAGAATCACTTGAGCCCAGGAGGTGGAGGCTGTAGTGAGCTAAGATCACACCACTGCACTCCAGCCTAGGCGGCAGAGTGAGACTCCTTCTCAAAAAAGAAATACAGATACATGCCACAAGATGGATGAACCTTGAAAATATTATGCTAAGTGAAATAAGCCAGTCACAGAAGGCCACAAATCGTATATTTCTATTTATGTGAAATGTCTGAAATAGGAAAATCCATCTCTGTGGACAGTAGATGGTGGTTATCAGACTGGAGGAAGGAGGGAAGGGGAGTGACTGCTTAATGGACAAATAGTTTCTTTGAGGAATCTTGAAAATGTTGTAGAAGTAGACTGTGGTTATAGTTCCACAACCTTGTGAATGTACTAAAAACCTCAAATTGTGTGTGCGTATGTATGTGTATATATTTATTAGTTATGTATGTATTATATATATAATAAATATATATAATATATATACACAAATATAAATTATAAATATAAATACAAATATATTTATATTTATATAAATATAAAAACAAATATATTTATATTTATATTTATATAAATATAAAATAAAGACAAGGTCTTGCTCTTTTGCCCTGAGTGGAATGCAGTGATGTGATAGCTCATCGAAGCCTCGAACTCCAAGCCTTCCTTTTACCTCAACTTCCCAAGTAGCTGGGACTACAGGCACATGTCACCATGCCTGGCTAATTTTTTGGATTCTTTGTAGGGACAGGGTCTCACTTTGTCTGTTGCTCAGGCTGGTCTCCAACTCTTGGGCTCAAGCACGACCCATCTGCCTCAGCTTCCCAAAGTGCTAGGATTACATGTGTGAGCCTCCATCCATGCCTGTCCTGTATACTTTTTAAAGGGTGAATTTTATGGTATGTGAGTTATATCTCAAAAAACCCTAGCAAGTGGGAAATACCCCATCTTGAGGATAATGAATATGTTGGGGGGTCCCTAAGAGCAACTCCAGGATCACTTATTTGCTAGAAAGACTCACAGGATCCCCAATGAAAGGATGTAAGCAAAGGCAGCAAAGGGGAAAGGCACATGGGACAAAGTCCAGGGAAGACCAGGTACAAGCTTCCAGAGTCCTCTCCAGTGGAGTCACTCAGAACACCGTTCACCCCAGCAATGAGTTGTGACAACATGTATGAAATATGAAATGTTGCCAACCAGGGAAGCTTTTTAGAGACTCGGTGCCCATGGTTTTTACAGGGGGCTGGTCACGTGCACCCCTTGCCCAGCACATACCCAAATTCCAGGTTCCCAGAAGGAAAGCAGGTGTTCAATATACGCCATGTTGTTTGTTTATGCCCAGTGAGCCACTCATCAGTTAAAGGGAGGACCTTCCCAAAATCTAAGTTTCCAGGTGCCAGCCAAGGGCTAACCTTGTAAGTAGGCCTTTCTAGGGACAGCAGTCAGGCCTGCTGTGTTAACTGTTTTTGCACAGCTCATCCACTTGACTCTCGGCCAAGGTGTCTTTACAGAAAATTTTTCAGTAGGACCATACACAGCAAGGGGTGAGACCATCCTGCAGTTATGTCCTTTAGGAGTTCTGGACTTAGCAGTTAAAGCAAATCTAATTAACCAGAAAGTCTGTCTTTTTCTTTTTTCTCTATCTTTTCTTTTCTTTTTCTTTTTGTGAAGACAAGGTCTTGCTCTGTTGCTCTTACCCATGCTGGAGTGCAGTGGCATGGTCATGGCCCACTGCATCCTTAACCTCCTGGGCTTATGTGATCATCCCATCTAAGCCTCCCGAGTAGCTGCAACTACAGGTGTGTGCCACAAACCTAGCTATATATTTTTTTTAGAGATGGGGTCTCCCTGTGTTGCCCAGGTTGGTCTCAAACTCTGGGACTCAAGCGATCCTCCCACCTCAGCCTCCCAAAGTGCTGGGATTTCAGGCATAAGCCACTGCACCTGGCCTCAGAAAGGTCTGTTTGAGGCAGCCAGATGGCCCCCTCCATTAGTTGCTGTATGAATCTTTTTACCTGGCCCGTGGCATCAACTCCAGCCTAGAGCAGCTCTGGCCAGTAAGTTGAAACTGACCTGAATGCCTTCCCGGGCTGAGGCAATGTTGTGATAATCACACACACAGGAAGTATGATCCCCATGGGCTCATGTGGTTCCCTGGAAACGGAGTTGAACATGTTAGGGTACACCAGCAGGGTATCATTGGTCAGGCAGTCTCCAGCGTGGCTACCGCTGTGGTGCCTCATGCCTCAGGGTGCTCAGTTCAGTGCAGGTAATTCAGCTCAGTCCCAGGTTTTATGGGGGCTGTCTGAGGCCATCAGTCCCAAACAGTTCTGTCAGTGACCCTACTTCATCTTCCTAGCAAGTGCAGATGGAATCTGGAGGTGTTCTGTGGAGACATGCAGGAACTGGCCCCACCCCTGCCAGCTCATAGTCATGCTGTCATGTGCCATCTAGGCTCAGCCATGGGTCTGAGTCCAAGGTGCTTTCAGCACAGAAGAAAGAGCTTCCAGGAGCAGTTATGGAAAACAGAACACAACTGTCCTTCCCTATCCGTATATCACCCCACCTGTTAGATTTTGTTGTTTTTCTCCATGTCCTATTCAATAATCAAAACTACATTCTCTTAATCATCCCCTACTCTCACCCAGACCTTTCAAAGAAAGGACAAAAGCGTTTTTTAAAACCCATTTTTATCCAACTTAACCAGAAAGATATATTGTGTAAGTATTAGGTTAAAATCCTAAATTTTCAAAACATTTGAAAGTAGGTTTGTATCACCTCCGAGCCCTTTCATCTTTATCATTTATCCAGTGAGCAGCCTAGAAAAGATCAATCCCTTTCCAGTGACAGCTGCATTTAACAAATTGCTTTACTGACATGTATAGTGAGAGAAAGGCAGAAAAAATACAGTCAGGATCTCAGTCTGTTACATACTGCAGGTACTCCAGAAAATTAAGCACAAAACATTAACAGTAGTGACACATTCCCCAGGGGGGATGGAGTTCAGTCTGTCAGGGATGGCTGAAAGAGTGGCATCGCCTATGATGTGACTTGAAGCCTTTGTAGGAATCATTTTTGGGAATATAATCAGACTCTGCATCAGAAATATAGAGCCAGTGAGCAGCTTGATTGTTGATGGTCCCATCAGAGAACAAGCCCTGTCTTGTGGGCACTTTATGTGACCCACACAGTCTAGCAGCATCCAGGATCTTTTTATAGTTTTGGGTCCCATGGAGGACATTATATGTTTATAGTGGTCCCTAGTCGATTTTTAGAACTCCAAAAGCATGTATTTTTCTGGAAATTGCCTATCTTTTCACATCTCCCTTTTTCCAGAGGCTCCATTAGACAAAAGCCATAGCAGAAAAACCTATTATAGAGACTTGTTCTGGTTGTAGTATTTGGAGTTTAAATTCCAACCCACTCACTGCTGGCAAACAGTAAGGAAATTATATCCCATTGTCACTTGGAAAAGAAAACAAAAACCAAAGGCATCACCTGGGCTGTGCTTTTTCCCTCACTTTAGCTAACACAGCCAAAAGCAGCCAGGGGGATCCATTGAGCCAACTGTCTTGGAACTGCATCGGTCATCTTTAAATTCTATAGGTCACTTTTACCTCTCACAACAGCTCAGCTGCTGTTTTATACTATGGATAACTTCATAGCCACCCAGGGACCACAGATTTGTTCTCCACCCTTTTGTCCTTTTCCCAAAATGTGATTTTACCATATTTCAGCAAATCAGGGTCATTCCAGCGATTCCCATTTCTGACATTCATTGTGCCAGGGTTCCCCAAGACCGCCCCAGGTGTGATAATTGACTAGGAGAACTTGGAAGAATCTGCATAGTTGCACTTGTGGCTGTGACTTATTTTTTCTTTCTTAGCTTTTTTTTTTCTTTTTTTTTTTTTTTTTTTTGAGATGGGGTCTTGCTCTGTCACCTAGGTTGGAGTGTAGTGGCATGATCTTGACTCACTGCAGCCTTGACCTTCCAGGCTCAAGCGATCCTCCCACCTCAGCCTGCAGAGTAGCTGGGACTGCAGGAGTATGTGTGCCCCTATACCCAGCTAATTTTTGTATTTTTTGTAGAGCTGATGTTTCTCTGTGTTGCCCAGGCTGGTCTCAACCTAAGCTCAGGTGAGCCACCATGCCTGGCCCATGGCTGTGATTTATTATAGCAGGAGGAAACATGAAAAAAACTAGGAAATAGAAGAGTAAATGGGATTAAGTCCAGAGGTAACCAGGTGCGGATTTGCAAGACTCTTCTCCCAGTGGAGTCACACAGGACAAGCTTAATTCCTCCACCAATAGATTGTGACAACATGTATGAAATGTTGCCAGGCTGGGAAGCTAGCTAGAAACTCAGTGCCCAGGGTTTTTACTGGGAGCTGGTTATGTAGGCATCCCCTCCCAGGCACATACCCAGATTCCAGACTCCCACAAGAAAAGAAGTGCTTAGTATAAACCATACTATTTGTATACAGTTTAGACACCCATCAATTAATGGTGGGAACCCTCCTGAAATCTAAGTTCCTAGATGCCAGCCAAGGGCCACCCATGTAATCAGGTCTTTCCAAGAAGAGCAGTCAGATCTGCTATGTTAACCCTTTTCTGCACAAGGAAATTGATGTTTGGAGAGGTTAAGTAACCTGCCCAAGGAGATCCAGCTATTAGGTGGCAGTGCTAGGTCTCTGTGGCTCCAAAGTACAGACTTTTCACCCCTGAAATTAACTTGAATAAACTTGACACTTGAGTATGGGAGCCTTTTTAGGATCCATCCTGTGTACAACAGAAAAGTGTGGTGTTGATTGCCCAGGTCATATTTTAATAGAAATGTGTTCTTCCCATCTCTCTGCTCTACTTTTCCCATCTGTACTCTCTGTCTTTCTGGCTGTTATACTGTAACTTTCTAGTATTCCCTGTCTGTCCTCGTTTAGCTCTTCTTGGCTCTCTTAACCCTTCTTACAAGTCTTCACCAACTCGAAACATTGAGAAGAAGAAAGCTGCATCTACATCTACATCTACATCTGACACAGGAGATGTTGGGAAAGAAGCCCTTGTGGGAGGAGAGGCCTCTCTGGTAAGTTTATAATTTTTTATTTTTATTTAAAATAAAGATGGGTTTCACCATGTTGGTCAGGCTGGTCTTGAACTCCCGACCTCAGGTAATCCGCCCGCCTTGGCCTCCAAAGTGCTTGGATTACCTGGCCGCCTCTCTGGTAAGTTTAAACCACCTACTCACTCACTCCTCCAGATTGTGTTCTGTCCGATGGTGTGATTACTTCTGTGCTTGACCTGGGCTCTCTGTTTCCATCAGTCTCCCAGGACTGCTCAAAGCAGGAAAGGGTAGATTTAGTTCAAAATTTTACCCAACCTGTGAAAATCCTTTAACTTTTTGGATGCTCTTAAGTCTTAGTACCTTGGAGCAAATTCTTAATGCTGTCCTTGTCACAGCCTGCCCTCCAGAGGACAGGAGTCAGAAGGAATGTTCTAAATACTCTGGTCTTCCTCTTTACGGATATCAGATTCTGGGTCAGTTCTACCTGTGCACCTATCTAGAACTGAGGATCTATGTCAACTTTTACCTGCAAAAGTAATCATTAAACATTCTTTTGAGATGAGGTCTTTCTTTGTTGCCCAGGCTGACCTTGAATTTCTGGGCTCAAGTAATCCTGCCTCAGCCTCTTGAGTAGTTGGGACTACAGGCATGTGCTACTATGCCCAGCTTAAACATTTTTGGTGGCACACTGGCACTTTCAGTAAATTAAATGTTGAACAGTTGTGTCTATTTATTTATACACAGTTGTGTCTATTTATTCAGAAATTACACATGCCATACTACTTTTGTTAGTTATCCATTGCTACTTAGCAAATCACCTTATACCTTGGCAGCTTAAAACAACAAATATGTATTAACTCATGGGTTCTTTGGATCAGAAATTCAGAGTGACTTAGTGGTTCTGGTGCAAGGTCTTTCATGAGGTGGTGTGGTCAGGATGTTGGCCAGGGCTGCATCATCTGAAAGCATGGCTGGGCCTCTTCTGAGATGGCTCATTCACGGCTGTTGGCAGGAGGCCTTAGTTCCGCACTGGATGGGCCTGTTCATAAAGCTGCTTGAGTGTTCAAATGATGCCACAGCTGGCTTCCCTCCAAGCAAGCTATCAGAGAGATTGCAAGGGGGACGCTGCAGTGTCCTTTAAGTAAGTCACTAAGATCAACCCACACACAAGGGAAGAGGAATTAAGTCTCACCTGTTGAAGGGAGTAATACCAAATAATGTCTGGACTTATTTTAAAACTACTGCATTTTATAATACCATATTTTATTTTCAAATCTGTTGTGAGTCTTAGAAGTACCTGTTTTAGACTCTTGGATTTTACTATACAGTGGATTAGTGTTGAAAGGGACTGATGGATGTGAGTGTGGGGGCCAGATGAGGGCTTGCTGCAGAAGAGTGTGATAGGGAGGAAAGAGAGCTAACCCTTGTGGAGCACTTTCTGCAGTCTAGGCACTGATGTCTGTTCCTTTCTGCAAAGGGAGGTAATGGAAAGACCTACAGGACTGGGTGGGGTTGCAAACCCCATTATACCATGTATACCATCAGGGGCCACAGTTCACACTGTCTTGGAAGTTATAACCACATTTTTACTCACCTATAATTTTTTGTAGTGATTTTACATCTTTGCACTCTTTTCAGTTCCTACATGTCCCTATAATATGGTTCTGTTCTTAACTTTTTGAAAGATAACTAGGAGAAGGAAATCTTTGTACTTTGAGGCTGTTTTTTTTTAACTGGGTAATATAAATGTGATGACCTCATCATGCCTCCCTGCAAAGATGCCTGTTTGTGATGCATTATAGCTTCATATCGATCCCTCTGAAAGCTGTGCATTGTTCCATCTGGGGAGTTATTCTTATAAATTGTGGAAGTATTGCCAGTCATGGACTGTGGCTATCCTATGTCCCCTACAGGTGGAGAAGGTGAAGCGGGGGCAACGAACAGCAACTCCTCTTTCCACTGTGAATTTTGGGTCCCCTCTGAAAAGATGCGAGCTTTCTGGAAGCATTCCTAAGAGACCATCTTCTCCTGTGATATCCAAGTAAGCATCTCTCTCCTTTGCCAGACAGTCTGACTGTTGTGAGTCAGTTTGCTAGGGCTTTGTGCCATCCCATGTTGCAGCTCCTGCTCCCCATAAGGCATGGCCAGCCAGAAGAGCTCAGTGAGAGAAATGCTGGCCGTGGAGTTAACTGGCTTGACTCTCTGTGTATCTTCTGGGTGAAAGATTCTTTGCTAAGGGACCCCAGTGCATCTGGGACTTTTATTTACCACGATGATGCATTCAGCATTTTCTCTTTAGGTCCATGAATGCCATTTTGCTTTTCTGGTATTCTTCTTTTTCCTCCAGTTGCATTTGGATTTAAGTGATTGCATTGGGCTTGGGTTCCTCCTCACATATTCACCCTTCTCCCCCACCTTGTTGTCTCTTTAATGGAGATACAGTAATAACTTGTCAGCCATGATCAGCAGTGTTTTCATGAAGCAAGTGTGTGTGTGTGTGTGTGTGTGTGTGTGTGTTTAAGAGATGGGGTATTGTTTTGTTGCCCAGGCCTGGAGTGCAGTGACTGTTCACAGGCATAATCACAGCACACTATAGCCTCCAACTCCTAGGCTCAGGTGATCCCCTTGCCTCAGTCTCCCAAGTAACTGGGACCATCATGGCCATGCACCGTGCACCACCATGCGCAGCTAATTTTTGTTAGGAGCTGGGTAAACTCACTGTTGAAACCATGTAACTGAAAAATGTACAATAACTGTGTGACCACCAAGGTCTTAAGTCATTAAAATATTTTACTGACAGTAACTGACAAGAGTGACTCAGTAAGTAACTCAGTCCGGTAGGACACTGGAAACCATCTTTAGTAGGACAGAGAAAGAAAGAGAAATAGGATTTAATTTGGGAAAATAGGAAAGTTTTTATATGGAGAGAATCATATAAACCTTATTCAGTGTATCAGTTTAGTTCAGAGAATGTCAGATAAAACACAAATTTAATGAACACTTGCAAATTTGTCAAAAATACTTCAAGATGACATCAGCTCTTAAATTCCCAATATGTTGCTTTCTAACAAACTTTTTCACTACTATTAATATTTTTTTGGAGATCCCTATGGTTTTGATACCCTACTAATACCTGCTATTGATGTGTTTGTCCTCCATAAGGAAAATCCATTGCACATTGCTGAATTAAAAGCCTGCTTTTCTTTCTTTGTTTTTAGTTCATTGCAACCTTTCTGTGCTAGTATTGCCCATCTTTGGCGATGATATTGTTATCTTATCTCCTCTTTAAATTTATTATTTGGCCCCCATGATCCCTTTCCCTCTGTCTTATTTCTGAACCTTCTTCAGCTTCCACCCATGCATCATTACTCTAGTGTTAATTTGGGACATTTACATTAATAGAAAGAAAAGCCTAGTTTATGCTGAGACTTTTACAGGTTCCACCCTCTCTCGCTGGAATTTGGACTTCTGGTCCCTGCAGGGATACTAGCTTGCAGGTTTCATCACTGTTATTGTAAATGGTAGTATCTTCTATAGAAATGAGAATTATAGGTATACCTAGTTTTGTTGTACTTTGCACTTTACACATACCGATTTTTTGTGTGTTTGTTTTTTAACAAATTGAAGGTTTGTGGCAACCCTGCATTGAGCATGTCTATCGATGCCATTTTTCCAATAGTGTGCGCTCACTTCTTGTCTCTGTGTCACCTTTTGGTAATTCTCAAAATATCCAAACATTATTATTATATCCATTATGGTGATCTGTGATCAATGATCTTTGATGTTACTGTTATAATTGTTTTGGGGTGCCATGAATTGCACCCATATAAGATGGCAAACTTAAGCTGTGTGTCCTGGCAGCTCCGCTGACAGGTCATTCCCTCGTCTCCCTCTCCTCAGATCTCTCTGCTCCCTGAGACAGTAATATTGAAATGAGGCCAATTAACCCAACAAAGGCCTCTTAGTGTCCAGGTTAAAGGAAGAGCCACACATCTCTCACTTTAAAAAGCTAGAAATGATTGAGCTTAGTGAGGAAGTCAACATCAAAAGCTGACATGGGCTGAAGGCTAGGCCTCTGGGACCAGTTAGCCAGGTCATGAATGCAAAGGAAAATTTATTGAAGGAAATTAAAAGTTCTACTCCAGTGAACACACAAATGATGAGAAAGGGAAACAGCCTGTATTAGTCAGGATTCTCCAGAGGGACAGAACTAATAGGATAGATGTATATATGAAGGGGAGTTTATTAAGGAGTGTTAACTACATGATCACAAGGTGAAGTCCCACAATAGGCCATCTGCAAGCTGAGGAGCAAGGAAGCCAGTCTGAGTTCCTAAACCTCAAAAGTAGGGAAGCCAGTAGTGCTGGGCTTACAGGTGCGAGCCACTGTGCCTGGCTAGTTATATCATTCTTTTTTTTTTTTTTGGAGACAGGGTCTCACTCTGTTGCCCAGACTGGAGTGCAGTGGCACAGTCTTGGCTCACTGCAACCTTTGCCCCACAGGTTCAAGCAATTTTCCTGCCTCAGTCTCAGTAGCTGGGATTACAGGCACATACCACCACATCTGGCTAATTGTTATATATATATTTTTTTATGGTTTTTTTTTGAAAGAGGAAAAAAGAAAGGAAGAAAAAGAAAAGAAGAAAGAAAGAGAGAAAGAAAGAAAAAAAGAATAAAAGAGAGAAATAAAGAGGAAGAGAAAGAGGGAGAGAGAACGGGAATCTTGCTCTATTGCCCAGGCTAGAATGCCATCTAAAAATGGGTATTAAAAACCTCTTTTATCCCAATAAATGTGCTTAACAATGGAGACAGGAAGGAATAAGGGAGGAAAATAACAAATAAGCAGCCAACCAATATTTCATTTAAACCTGTGAAATGCTATGCAATTGCTGAGGAGTGATTTACTTCCAATCATGTGGTCACTTTTAGAATAGGTGTGTTGCGATACTGAGAAAAATGTGTTTTGTGGATTTGGGGTGGAGAGTTCTGTAAATATTTATTAAGTTTACTTGTTCCCGGTCTGAGTTCAAGTCCTGGATATCCTTGTTAATTTTCTGTCTCATTGATCTGTCTAATATTGACAATGTAGTCTTAAAGTCTCCCACTATTATTGTGCGGGAATCTAAGTCTCTTTGTAAGTCATTAAGAACTTGCCTTATGTATCTGGGTGCTCCTGTATTGGGTACATATATATTTAGGATCGTTAGCTCTTCTTGTTGCATTGATCCTTTTACCGTTATGTAATGTCCTTCTTTGTCTCTTTTTGTCTTTGTTGCCTTAAAGTCTGTTTTATCAGAGACGAGAATTGCACCACCTACTTTTTTTCTCTCTCTCTTCATTTGGTTGGTAAATCTTCCTCCATCCCTTTGTTTTGAGTCTTTGTGTATCCTTGCATGTGGGATGGGTCTGGATACAACGTACCGATGGGTTTTGGCTTTTTATCCAATTTGCCTGTCTGTGTCTTTTGATTGGGGGATTTAGTCCATTTAAATTTAGGATTGATATTGATATATGTGAGTTTGATACTGCCATTTAATGCTAGCTGTCTGTTTTGCCCATTAGTTGATGTAGATTCTTCATTATGGTGATGCTCTTAACCTTTTGGTAGGTTTTTGGAATGGCTGATACTGGTTGCTCCTTTCTATATGTAATGCTTCTTTCAGAAGCTCTTGTAAAGCAGGCCTGGTGGTGATGAAATCTCTAAGTACTTGCTTGTTCACAAAAAAATTTATTTTTCCTTCACTTACGAAGCTTAGTTTGGCTGGATATGAAATTCTGGGTTGAAAGTTCTTTTCTTTAAGGATGTTGAATATTGGCCCCTACTCTCTCCTGGCTTATAGGGTTTCTGCTGAGAGATCTGCTGTGAGTCTGATAGGCTTCCCTTTGTGGGTAACCCGACCTTTTTCTCTGGCTGCCCTTAGCATCTTCTCCTTCATTTCAACCCTGGTGAATCTAACGATTATGTGCCTTGGGGTTGCTCTTCTTGAGGAATGTCTTTGTGGTGTTCTCTGTATTACCTGGAGTTGAGTATTATCCTGCCTTGCTGGGTTGGGAAAGTTTTCCTGAATAATAACCTGAAGAATATTTTCCAGCTTGGATTCATTCTCTTCGTCACATTCAGGTACACCTGTCAAACGTAGATTAGGTCTTTTCACATAGTCCCATATTTCTTGGAGACTTTGCTCATTCCTTTTTACCCTTTTTTCTCTAACTTGTCTTCTCATTTTATTTCATTAAGTTGGTCTTCAACATCTGATATCCTTTCTTCTAATTGATCAATTCGACTGTTAAAACGTGCATACTTCACGAAGTTCTCGTATTGTGTTTTTCAGCTTCATTAATTCACTTATATTCCTCTCTAAATTGTCTATTCTCATTAGCATTTCGTCAAACCTTTTTTCAAGGTTCTTAGTTTCTTTGCATTGGGTTAGAACATGTTCTTTTAGCTCACAGAAGTTTCTTATTATCCACCTTCTGAAGCCTGATTCTGTCAATTCATCACACTCATTCTCCATCAGGCCTTGTTCCATTGCTGATGAGGCGCTGTGATCCCCTGTAGGAGGAGAGACATTCTGATTTCGGGTGTTTTCATCCTTTTTGCGCTGGTTTCTTCCCATCTTTGTGGATTTATCCACCTGTCATCTTTGTAATTGTTGACTTTCAGATTGGGTCTCTGAGTGTACGTCCAGCTTGTTGGTGATGATGTTTTTTCTGTTTCTTAGTTTTCCTTCAGTGGACGCCCCTCCCCACAGAGCTGGACCTTCCCAGGTTCAGCTGTGCTTGCTGTGAAACTCTCAATCCTCAGAGCTTCCAATTGCTGTTTTTTTGTGGGGGAATTTCTCCTGCGGTGACCCACTGCGCCAGCTGAAACAGCAGCATTGAGATTTGTGGCGCTTTTCTGCCCAGGAATCTCTCAGTCTGGCTCCCCGCTTCAGTCCCATTTTCAATCAGCTGAATGGGCGACTCTGCCTTCCCGGAGCTCCAAACGCCACCTAAAAGGGCCCCCAGTCCCGTATACTCTGCACTGAGAACCGCCACGCCA